ATAAAAACATTCTTTAGCCATTTCTAGTTCTTAGTTCTCAAATTTAATGTACTATTTACTTTTATCAAAACAAAACCTGATATTTTGCCCTTTGTCTGACCACTTTGCTCCATAATATTCACTGTTAGCTCATAGGCAGAATGCTTCAAGTGTTCTCTGTTTAAGAGAACACCCTTCATCATTCAAGACTGATGCTTGTAAGGTTTACAATATTATCTGATTGGACAACTAACAAAGTATAATAATATCACTGTTTAGTAGTGTCCTCTTACAAACCACAGAAAAGAAAACTAGAAGGACAAATTGTTGAAAATTTAATGGCTTCTAAAAGAACTAAATCAATGGGAACAAGAAAGATCCAAGGCAATATTCCATGAGCGAAGTTCACACTGGATACAGCCCATTCCCAGCAGCAGTAGTTATTGGTAGTGGTTAAGAGCAAGCCCACTTGTAGCCAAACTTGCTTCTCCATCTGTGAGACATGCTAGATCCTGCCTTGTGGACAAGAGCTGGCCTACATGCTCTAGTGGTCTCTTTGGAGAAAGCCAGCATGCAACACTAGAAGTGTTTAGTAAAAAGATTGAAGGTGGGAGAGTCAACAAACATGAACTGTTTGTAGACAAGTCAGTCATGAGAGAGCATCAAAATCTGCCTGAGTTAGATGATTATTTGGCATAGATGAAGGCCAAACAACTTCAGTTTCATCTCAGACTTGTTTGATGTTGATGGAGCTTTTTGTGTTTTGTCTGTTTTCACGCCTCTGGTACATAGGAAGAGTACACAAAGCAAGATAAAAAAGCAAGAAAAAAAAAAGTACACAAGAGCAAGATAAAAGCAACTAGTAAATGGTAAGGCCTCATGCTGTCTTTGAGTATTTAGCTGACAAACAAAACAATTACATCACAACAGACTTTTCATCAGGACCATTTGGTTAAATTCAATAATAATATCAGGATACATTTCATCCCTAATTTTCCTTCTTTATATATATATGTATACATATGGCCTAATAAAAGTATATGAGACATAAATTCAATTAGAAAAACAGCAAGGCATTTGAATGCTTTCTACACAGGCTATTGAAGCCATCACCCCCTAATTTCAAATCATAACCACTCCACATTTGCACTTACATAAATCTGCTGACTCAAATGCAATAATGTTTTATTCCATTATTAATGCCTTAAGAATAATGTTTTTGTAGTTCAGCCTAGCAATCTCACTCAGTTGTCCTTGTTAAGCCTATGCCAGATATGCATTAAGCCACCTGAGTGGTATGAAAGACAAGCTGTAAATGAAAGTATATTTTGAAATTTTTCTGCACCATGAAACAGCCATTTAACACAGGTGTTTTTCATAATTTCCAAATTAAAAGCGAAACAATGCAGAACTGAGGTCTAAATTTGAGATAAGAAAATTGAAGATCCTGTTTTTGAGCAAGAGCAAAGGCTCTGATGTCCCTTCTGCCCCTACATGTGTGATTGTCTGACAAAGCTTTGTCCAAGAGACTCATTTTAGACTCTGTAAAGACAAAAGACAGGGTTAGGAGTCATGGTCATGACTCTCTAAGTTAAGAGATGGAAAGTTTGGAGGTGATAGAAAGGCAAAATAATTAGTTTACACAGTTCAGTGTCCAAATAACTTGTGAGATGAAAGGAGCTTTCAAACCTCTCTTTCCTCATCAACTTTGATTCCTTTTTACTTTAGCAGCTCATAGAGAGACTTAGAGGAAGAGCTGTATACCTATTGACTGTTCAGATTTGAATTATTAAGGTGAACTGAAATGCCCTTGTTTCCTGCACCAGTGAACATCCCAAACGTGGCATCTCTTTTATTAGTGATGAAACTACTATTTTATTCTCTCCATTCCACAGTTTTCTCCATGTTCAAGACAGGAACTTCAACAGCACCAAGGACATTGAATACACCGTATTCAAGGGACAAAACTTCTATTGTGATTGTTCAGTGGTATTTCTACCCTTGAAATTTTGAATGCCACGACCCATACTAAAATTAATAAAATACCTATTACAATACTGATGTATGGCACTGCATATTTATTAATCTGATCTGCCGTAGTCCAATATAAGAATACATAAGATATAATGAAGTCTGAGGACATTCATTAATCTAAGCAACAAAACTAATTAGAAATTAGTAAGCTAGAAATGTAGAGAATCAGACTGTAAACCTACTGCCTCCACTGAACAAAAAAATCAAGTCCAAGTAGATTTTTGCATGGCTATGAAATCACTACAAAAATTTGCCCTTATATGTATAGCTTCAATTTAGTGTATGCTGTTGCATTAACAAAACTTTCATAAGCAATTTCTTTCACTAGTAGATTTTTTTTCTATATCACTACTATCCTGCAAAAAATAACATTTGTGTTCATTTGGTCCTGCCAAAGCTTGAAGTATCAGAACAAACCAACAGTACAATTTTCAAGGGACTATGTAACATGAAAAAAATCCATAAAGATGATGTGCGTAGAAGAATAAATGTATTTGGAAACTGTATAAGGCAGTAACAAGAACAGCAAAACCTAGTAGAATATATTCTACTGTATAGTTCAGCATTCTGTACCACTGTGTATATGTGTCCTCCGAGGCTGTGTATACTAAAATTTTCTGCATCCATTCAACAGCCCCGTAAAACTACAATTTTATCAGTTCCAACTGAAACTATCTTCTGATACCTTGACAGCACCTCTTGTATATTATTCTGGTTATATATATAAAACACATCTTCAATAACTAGTGATTTTAGGGGAGAAAAAGGACAAGAATCTGTTCAAGAATTCCAAATGCTCTACCATAGCTTAGCAGCACCCATATGTAATCTTAAATAGTGATTTCAAGCACAGTGTTTTGTACACTCAATTCTCTAGTGATTTGTACTGTTGACCACTGAATGTTCTACATTATATGGAGATACATATGTTTTTAGAAGCTATGTCCAAACCATAAGTTGCATAAATAGCCTGAAAAACAAATTCATCATCCACATTTTACCTTATTGCCAGTGGCCCTAGAACTTACTGAAACGCTCCAGCCCTCTGGGAAACTTCAGACAGCGCCCATTTTCTAAAATCTGCAAGTCAGAGATATTTTACTTTCCCCCTTCTATTTAGCTATTTCTGTCCTCCTAAACACAGAAGTAAAAAACAAAACAAAACAAAAAAAAAAAAAACACCAAGGAAGCCTAAAACTGTCAAGAGTTGTATTTACCATAAATAACCAATTAATTACTTTAAAATTCCTTTGCTGGGAAACATAGAGAATTTCATAACCTCTGAAGAAGTTGCTGATTTCCCTACTGCTCTGCATTTCACTTCTAAGCCTTTAAAACTTTCTCTTTCAAAATCTCATGTTCTTGAAAATAAGACATTTTATGACAATATGATGTAATTATTCTTCAAAAAATGTTTTCTTTAGTTTTGTTTTTGATATTTTTTTTCAACTCAGAATCTCCTAACAAAAAACAAATGCATGACGAACGTGGTAAAGAGCAGAAACAATAACTAGAATAAATTTTCAGCAAGTTAGCAGTTTCATTCTTCATATTTTAGCTTTTCATGAGATAAGCTAAAAATTATAACAAGACAAATACCGTAATTGAAGAAAATACTGTTTTAAATTTTTATCATTTGTATCCTTCATGAAAAGTATTTGTGATCTCCTCAGAGTCCCAAAGGAGATTCCAAACTGACACAGTTCTCAAGAGCAATCAGGTGTCACTCTTTAAAAGGAGGCTTAAACATAATCAAGCAGGGCAGCTTGCCAGTTCTCCTGCAGTCCCAAATGGACCTTGTTCCATTATGCATCCTCCCTCAGTTTCAATTCATGCTGAACTTAACTAAAAGCCTTGCTTGTGCAATTTCAGGGGTTGCATCTTGCTCGAAAATGGCAAGCAGTCAATCACTCCAGTGAGAATGGATCAAAGAAAACAGGATAAAAGATAGTGCCAACTACACCATTGCTCTTCCTAAGCTGTTCAATAAATCAGCAGCTCGGCATCTGTGATATTTTGAGAACCTCTGTTTCAAACTATTTGTAAAAATTCATTCCCGTTTAGCCCATATCTTTCAAGCCATTGAAGCAGTTGCTACTGAAAATGTAACCCCACCATGGCGATTAAAAAGCAACAACAACAACAAAACACATGAGGACTTATTCAGACGAAGTAGAACAGTTTTTTTTACTGAAAAAGAATTTATGTATAATGCCTTCATAAATGTGAGTATTTTGTAACTATTTGCACTTATTTGTAATACATTTTGATTTTGTTACGAGTGAATTCTGAAGTTTTCTAAGCTTCTAATTAAGACAAACTATATGTTAGTTCTTTCAAATTTGGTCAACACTGATTACTTTGTGCTATACTTGAACACTGTTCTACAAATACCCCCAAAAACAGTACAAATATAATAATAAAGACAGAAAATGAATTGTTAGCAAGACAGAATTAGAAAGCCTCAGTGACTCCATTTGTATTTTCTAGGTACTTGATATTGCCCTGTTTTTACCTCTGTGCAACACAGTGGTTTCAAAACCCTGCCTGATTAATTTCTCAATTTAGCACAACAGCAGCACATAAGACCATGGCCATGAGTAGGCAGATAACTTTTCAGAAATACTTGTTTTGTACCCAACTCTCAGAAAATGTTCTTGCAACCCCACATTTTCCGGAGAGAGAGAAAAAAAAAAAAGTGTTTAGTTTAAAACATTTCTTCCCCCAAAATTCTTGCAAGAATATTAGGAGAGAATGGGGCAATTACCTTTCATTAGTGCATTTAACAAGAGTTACAGAAACATTTCATGTCCTTTTAATTTCTCAGAAAAGAGCATTTGTGGAGTTTATGCACATAGTACAGTTGCATTTTCCATTCACGTTCTTACACTGTCTACATTGCTATAGTTCTTGAATACCAAGCATGCTGAAAAGATACAATTTTTTGCTGTACCTATTAAAGAGAAAAAAATAGATCATTTACTCACCAAAAATTCAATTCATGCCTGTTTTCTGTTAACCACTTCTGGCAACTCTTCACTGCAATTGAGCCACCATACAGGATCTTGTATTTCTATGGACAAAAAATACATATAATTTTTGATGAAAATCATTGTTTGCTTGTACCAATTTGCATTGATGAAGCTCTTCCTCACCCTAAAAAATAAAAGTAATTTACAAGAGGACATAGTAGCTTACAGAAAACTGACTAGAAAGATAAGCTTAGCAGAAGCCTGGAAAATTTTCTGTTTCATTATGTCTGTTTCATGTTTTATGATTCATTATTGGTGCTTCAATTTCCAGCCTATGTAGTGGAACCCAAACAGGTTCAAACATTTCAAACTACACTAGCCAGCTTATTGTCCTTAGACCATCATAGCTACAACATCACTACATAAAATATGTGACATTTGGCTTTGCTTTGTTAGAGGAACACTGCCAGATATATGCATTCAAATAAGTATGTTTTACTTGAGGCACCTTTTCAGCATTTGAGGTCTGGAGAGAAAACTAATGCAATATTATCTTTTCTGCAGAAAGACAATTCATTGTCAAATAGTCCTATAAAATGAGCAGAAAATGTAATACTTGTACCAATTTGACTTGCTTCACCTAAAGCACATAATAGCAGGGCAAGTACTCTGTTCTGCCTCTCCTTATCAAAACGTTTATTGAGAGAGGTCCATTTAATAGGAGCAGGAAGGAGAATTTTTTTCCATGAAAAGGTTTCACCCTCAGTACACAAGTTAATCTGCATTTATTGCAGTTTTCTGACAGCAAGAATCATTAGATTTGTTTTACCGAATTATAGTGTTGCACTAGCGAATTATATACACATTTTAATATTATTTTAAATCATCATAATATCTGGGCAGATAATAGTACAACCCTTAGAAAAGCCAAACTGATTTATCAACATCTTCTAAGAAGAAGCTATCTTAAGATCAGAGACAAAATTAAAATACTTATTTACAGAGGAAATAAATTCAATGCTTGTCCTATTCTGGACAGGAATGTGAGAGCAGTTTTGTTTCAGACCCCTATCTAATAAAACTTACACAGATTTGGGAAGTTTTGAAACCTTCAAAGCTAAGATGTTCAGGTTTTAAGGATGGGAAGAATAATCAAGAATTTCTTTAAGATGTTCTACTCCACCTTCTACAACACAAAACCAAGAGGGAGGACCTTGCTGCAGGGGGCATCATGTCTAAACATATGCACATGCTATATCTCAATTACATCCTACCAGGCGATAAAAATTTCAAATTGCAACAGAATTAATGATAGGTTGGGGGACAGTAGACAGGTGACAACAGGTAATGACTTCCCAGTGTTGGCAGTATAATACAATATATCATAGAGATTTTCCTCCTACTTTACAGTTACTGTCACATTCTCTACTGCACCTTCAGAAAAGGAATATTCATGCTTCAGTGTGTGTCAGCTTCTTTCTCTGCTGCAGGAATACACATTTTTTGGAATGTTATCTGAGGTTTCACCACCCTGCTTAGTAGTGACAATGCACAGCAAAATGCACACACACTTGTTTGATTTAAAACTTAATTTTTAAGGAAACTGTTCAAAAACAACCATGAAAATGTCACATGGAAAGTAGTAAAAGATAGTGAAGACACAAAGGAAAAGTAACACTATCCTTACTTATTAATCCATATTATCCTTACTTATTAGTCCATAATAAATTTGTAAACAAAAGTATTTCTGAGCATTCATTTGTAAACAATTCTTGATATACAGTTCTACAACACCTGTAAATATGCCAAGCGAGACATAACTAAAAAAGTAACATCTTTCTGAAGTAATTCTAAACAAGTTTTTAGTGGTATTAACAAGTCACCTTTCTAAAGAGAGTGTTTTAATACCAAAGTGGAAAATGGTTATTTATGCTTCAATATCCATGCTGCCAGGACTATCATAAACATACCTTTCACCCCAGTTAACCATGCAGATGGCAGAAGGCTCCATTTGAGTATTTCCCAGTCAAACAGTTTTGATCCCAAATGAATCAACGAAGAAGGTGCCAGACCTGACTGCAGTCAGGCAGAATGCAGAACTACGTGCAGTGGTGGTGCTGTAGCAGGTAACCAACACCACCAAACAATGGCACTCATCCTTTGCCAGGATTGTGAAATCCACATAAGAGTACTTGAAATAGATAAGCCACTGTCAATGTTAGTGACTCTATTTCTATGTTACTTTTGTTATTGTTTTCCATTTGTTTTAGAAGAAAATGAATTTAGAGCTTCCTGGATGGGATTCATCTTTCTTAACTATTGGATAAAGATCTACTACTGAGCTTATTGTGTGGGATGTCTTTTTGGGTAGATGGAGAAAACTGGGAGTCACTTTAGATCCCTGAAGTTAGACTAAAAACAGATTGTTTTGCTCTTTAGTTTTCAACCTATTAAACACATTTGAAAAACAAGCATGCTTTTTTTTTTTCTTTACTGTGAATAACTAGGACTTTGAAAAAGTATATAATAGGAGTGGATGGAAGCTTTCACCACATGGCCCATAACAAGCTGCCAAATTGTTAGTACCACCTTCCTAAGTTGTTTTTTATGTTTGTTTGTTTTGTCACTCATCCAGTCTGGTTTTTATTTTTTTTTAACCACTTTTTTAACTGTCAAATCAAACTCCATGTGACTAAAATAAACATTTAGAAAAAACTGTTCAACTATTATATCAGATATAATAAAGTATATAGGTGGTTTCTGGCACCCATAAATCATTTGGCTATTTGACCATAGCCAAATGAATGAGCTTGAATGAGCTTTGAATGAGCTTTCATGCCTTTCTGACATGGCAGTTTTAACTATCATCTTCCTTTACCAGGCACAGATTTTAATGCAGCAGAACACCCAAACATTATTCCAAAATAGAATTTCATAGTATGAGGAGTGCTGGGAGGGTGTAAGTATTTAGGGCAGGGAAAAAAAAGAAATAAAATGCAAAAATGTTCCTTCTTAAAATAGAAGATATACAATAGTGGTCCCAATCAAGAGCCCATCTGGTTCCTTAGCCTGTTTTCAGCACAGCTGAAGGGTACTTACAACAAAGTAAAACCAGGGCAAACATGTCTGACTGCTTTCCCTTCATACCCTTGCAGCCTGCAACTATTTCCAGCTCAGAGGAATTCCTTTTAATTATTAAGTATTCATTTTAAATTTTAATTCAATGTTTGTTAATCTTTTTAACTGTTAATTATTTGACAAATACCACTTGGTTGGTTAATTCTTGTTTATAATTCATATACAGTAAGTAATTGTAAGCAATTTGTAAGCAATATTTACTGCAGAATTTTATAAGGTTAAATATACCTATGCATTGTTTTTTTCAATTGCTAATGCTAAATTGTCTTGACGAGTGAAGTGTCTGCTATCAAAGTTCTGATCTAATTAATTTTAGTTTGATGTGAAATTTAAACTGAAGCTCTGTATGTCAGATATCACCTTTGAAAAAAAAAACGTGCAAAAATAGAAAAAAATAATCTAAATTACTTTGAAGCAGTCCAAGTTCCCAGTTTTTCTGTGTTCTCTCTTGACCTGATAAAAACTGTTGTTAATTCAGGCTTATAAGCGCTGGCATAGACCTTAAGCACTAACTTGGTAATAAGATGAAGGAAACTGTTTTGAATAAAATAATAAATTTTCAGTTTAGTTCACTATTAGAAATATAACTTATACTTTGAAGGCTAACTACAACTAATAGCTCAAAAATAACTTGAGATGAAACCCAGCCAGGGGTGGCAGAGACTTCACAGTATAGGACTTTTAATGCTGTAGGCTTGTACACATTTCAAGTCAAACAAAGCTTTTATTTTCATGTAGTTTCTATTTCTATTCATTAAAACTTCTATTCATGTATACTCTAAATTATTTCTCTACTGCAGCTTATGCCAAAAAGCTTGGAGCCTCACCTCTCCTGCTAATTAGAAATATGTAGGTCTAAATTTCAAGAGTATATTTGGTTTACTTCTAAGTTTTTGCTATACCATAATATCTGAGCCTTTTAATTCTAGTGAGCATATCATTTAATTCTAGTGTAGAAGTGCAAGATATTTGATTATTATTTTTTTTATTATTATTCTGGTCAGGCAAACACAGAAATCAAGCCCCAAAATCTACTGGGAATGAAAGAAAATATACAAAAAATATACACATCCTAAATATGTGTATATACACAATTACGTAGACCACAGTATTTTTCTCATGTCTTCCATTATAAATAAGGTACTTTCTTTTAGACCAGAAACCACATGACTCAGACTACATCACATTTGTCTTTATTTTTAGGCATGACTGTAAATTTATTACCTGTTTAATAATTCCTTGATAGATGCTACATATAAAGGTGTAGAAATGCATAAAGTCACTGTTATGTACTAGGATTTCTATAGATCGGGACATGTACTTATGGGTTTAAAAAAAACCAACACAACCAAATTCCCCCCCAAGCCCAAACAAACAAAAAAACAATCAAGCCAACACTCGGAAATGCTTCTTTTGGTTAGGAATCTTCCCAACACTATTACACCACAGACAAAGGACGGGTACTAAAACCATAAGAAAAATCACCAGCTGCATAGGCCATTCTCATTTTATGTGTTTTTGTTTGTTTGTTTTTGAATGTTATAAAAACAGAACTCTTCATAGGTAGACACTTTTTTTTTTTTTTAAAATAAGTAGTGACATAAAACATTTCACATCAAGCTATGCACTAGATGGTTTAATAGCTGTTTCTTGTCACCCTAAATATAATTCTTGGGCAAGTCCACAAAGCTGGGGTTTGTGAAGTTACAGGAGCAGCGTTCAGAATAACGATTCAGGCCTGCCTGCCAGCTGGAATGCAGACCTTCCATAAATGTTTGCAGCTTGTTTAGAACAGGTTCTTTTTTATTGCTAGTTATTTTGCAAATATTTTATTGGCAACTCTTTGTAGATGAAGTTGCTTAACTATCTTCCAAGGTAAACGGAAGCCATTCAGGCCCAAGGGAAATACATACAAGCATTCTCAGGAGAGGAGAAACAATTCTTGAGTTGAAGTTGTGTCTAC